GAATACCAATTCAGGTAAGACGGCTGTCAAGTAAAAAATTTGGCAAAATCATTAAAAACTGGCTTCTAGAAAACCCTTTCTATAGCCTAAGTGAGTATTTTGAAGCAGATTTCTCACCAATGACGATTGGACTTGAATAAAGTGATTTATAGCAGCCTGTTCTTGCATGTCGTGTTTGGTATCAGATCTTTTTTACTTATTTGTATATCTATTTTAGTGTTTCTGCATGGTGTTTGTGCATGTTTTTATTTAATTATTATGGACTGACTATTGTACTTCATGAGGACCCACGAGGATTGTCGTTTTGTTAATTTCTGACCTAGCCTAATACTTTAATGTTGAATGGCCCAGTAAAATTTTCATTTTAATTTTGATTTTGATTTTGACAAAGGTGCATCAGTCTTATTCCGGCGACAATAATTATTTCTTGTTCATTTTGAAGAAATTTATGCTCAATGATGTCTATAAGATTGTTCTTTCCTTTTTATCTGTACGGTATTTGTAATGTGCTATTTATTTAGATGATTCGTTGACTAACATATGTTGCGACTCTTGCTTACCTTTTTATTGTTATCTTGAAAATAATGTCATGGTAACCAATTAACCCCTAAGGCCCATGTTATATTTCCAAAAGTTTAAATTCACGTAGGAAAAAGCCCTGTGGTTCAATTTTTACCACTTCAGATTTATACCTTCCCATGGTTGGTTACTATGGTTGTGCTAAATTTCGTGCAGATGGCTTCAGCCGTTCATGAGGAGTATTTGTAAAACAAAAACAGAAGTGTAGTATAAGAGCTTCGCTCCGCTCAATAAAGCTTACTGTTTTGTATCATCAATATATCACTAGGCCTTATATTTAGAAAAAATATGTTTATTTATAGCATTTTTAGTTGTTCAAGCTCTTTGTTATTGGCATATTTTTGTATTAGAACCTCTCTCTTTCAGGCTTTCCCTAGAAGATATTTATCTCTTTTAACCCGTTTATTGTTTTACCACACAGGAGCATTAGGAGTTAAAGGTAATTCATATTACCAGCTGTATAGACTACTAGCTGTTACCCACGGGCTTCACCCCGTTTCACTTCATAATAAAATCTAAAATTAAAAATCCATAGTAAATTAATAATATAATAAAATAATAATCGACATATAATAATAATAATAATAATAATAATAATATAATAATCTATAACAATCTACCTAATAATCCTACTAATATTGTAAGTGAGAAAGTTTGGATGCATGGATGGATGGATGTTTGTGACAAGTAAACGCGAAAAATACTAAACCGACAGGGTTGAAAATTGGTATGATGACAGCTCACATTCCTGATTAACGTATAGACATATTCTTATCTTAAAAATCCTTTCGGGCTCCACCCCAGTGGGCAGTGGCTCTGGAGTTTCCCTTGTTAACCTTTTGAGTATTCATATTTAAAAGGGATTAAAGAGTTTTGTTAGCTGATTAAACTGCACAAGTTGGTTCTATGATATTAAATAGCATTATAAAGTCATAAGGTTTACCAACAGGGTGCAAGTACTATTATTTTCTTGCAATTATGACAACAGCTAATTTGAACCAACAGTAAAAAAAACCTGTGGAACACAATGAGAACTTTACTTTTTTTCTTTGGTTTAGATGCAGTTGTAGAATAGTATGGCTATGATAGATGTGTGAATACTGTATAATAGCATACTGTATAAATTAAATAACCAAATGTTCTTAAACCTTTTCCTCTCCCATAACTGCAATAAGCATTTATACTTACTGTATATGCCAACTCTGTACGAAGGACGGGTACTCTGCTAGTCTTCATAAATCAATCTATAATAATCTTCATTAATAAAACTATTGATGGCCGTACCGGGTTGGGTAGCATTTCGAGTAGCTTTTCATGGTAAGCTGTCAGGGCAGAGCCGTAGGAGAGTATTCAAATAAAACATGACACCCCATTAAGCCTGTGGATATATTGGCTATATTTACGGAAAAAATCAGCTGAATTGGTCAAAGAGTTTTTGACATAACTTAAACACTCAGATATGATATTAGCTCCTTCCATCCAAATAGTTGACTTGATCACTAATACACCAAAATTATCAACACGCTACTCCGTTTGCTAGACATTATGTTTAGGGAAAACAAACACGATAATTTTTTTATAAAAAATTAGAAAGAACCGGGAACTCCAAGCCACTGGGGTGGAGCCCGAATGTCGAATAAAAACTACTTAGTTTTCCTATTTAATGCATAAAGAATCAGTATACCGAATTTCAGTCTTCTAGTTAAATGGGAATTCTTCAATGACATTCTTAGTCAACTGTAAACAGTTGTGAGAAGTCATTAGCTTTTCGCTTTGAACTTTACTGTTTAAAACTGGACCTTGATCATTAGTTGTTAATGAATGACAGCGATTAAAGAATTATCTGATCTTAGTCAGTAACAAAGCAACACAGGTCTTCCCCACCCTTTCTACCATTGACTTTTGTATACTGGAGTTGATATCTCATGTATACTTTATGAACCTGCTGCAGATAATTTTCAATCCAAATTAGTTAAACATAGCCTAGTTACAATTAGTTAACATTCTGTTTCCTCTAATTGTCTTTGTTGCTGTGATAGTTGTCGTGATATACGCTACGGTTAACAACAAAATTAGCTGTACTTTCAATCTGGATAGAGTGTTAGCTTATGATGTCAACTTTTATCTATAGTCAAAGCATACTACAGCCTCGCATATCATGTGAATCAATTTTAACTCACTCTGCAATGCATTTACGTCCTACCATTGACTTGATACTGTTGTATCAATAGTCCAAGGCCCTACCCTTGACTATCAAATAGTCAATGGTCCTACTATAACGTACACCAAGTGCGATGCTGTATTTATGTGATCAAAGTAATCTCCCATGGTTACGTAAGGGTAATCTAATACTGTATGGCACTAAAGTAATACAGATATCTTAACACTATCGCAACACTAAGTTGGGATATCTTTGGACCACTCAAGACTCAGCTAGTAGGTTCTGGTTGGCGGCCGCGAGGTCCCGCTGTTGATCAAAAGCGTTTTCAATATCATAAAAGGAGTGGCAGCGTCATTTCATCCCAGGACCAGGACTGGATCCTGTTTGGAAGCCTCCGGTCAACGTACTACCCGTCCTGACAACTTTGGTCTTCGTACTAGCCTTTCTACCGACGTCTGACTCACTACTACAGACCTTGAAAACATGTCTGGTGTACTACACATGCTGAACACATTCAACAAGAACATTAGTTGTACGAGGGGGTTTGCTTATTGTAAACAGAACATTTTGCAGCTAAATGATACAAAAATGGCCAATGTCTGGCTGGAATTTTAAGAGGTCGGGTTTGGTTGCACAATGCCCAAAATTCTAACGGGAATTTGTTATTGAAGGGTTAATAAATATAAGGAGGCATTAAGATTTTATGATTAAGTATTTTTTTTATCCAGTGCTATGTTACGTTAATTCGCAAAAAACCGAATACTAAAGAGAATTTGTAGATATTTCCAATATTTAACCCTGGGAAAAAATTAATAACAACTTATAAATAATACGTATTATCCTTCACATACTACTATGTGTATCATTACATTTTAATACATTCTATTAGAATCCTACAAATACTTCATTTTAATGAGAATGTTGTTCTCCACATTAATCTATAGTAGAACCTATAATTACCTAAAGCTGAGACTTTTTCGTTATGTCTTATCGTTATGAAATCAATTATTTTACTGCGCAAATTTGTGTATTTTTATTAAAATTAGTTACGTGTATAATAAGTAGTAGAATCATAAGGGGCAGCTCAATATATGATCCCGCTTAACGTTTAAATAAGCCTATTTTGAATCGCACCTTTAGAAGGAATACCACCACATTAACTTACACTAAGTTTAGTTTCAATTTTTATGTTGATCAGAAACAAATCTAGGGTTAAGTTTAGTCAATGGGATGCCTTTACACTATTTTTGTTAAACCTTTACAAAAGGAGGATGAAATTAGAAATAATAGGTGGGTTGGTTTTTACCAAGAACTAAGCTTATCAACACACTTTTATATGCCTTTTCATATTTCACTAAGTCAATTTCCAAAATTCTAATAAATAGAAGTCCAAATAAGGGGAGCCATTTTTTATCAACACCAACTAAAAGCAACATCTCTTGTACATCAAAGTGCATTACTTATTACTCCGTAAACCAGTATTTATTACAATGTTTGCTGCCTTAAGCAGAGTTTAACCCTCTGAAATGATTCAAATTATTTTATTGAGAATAACTTCAACAAAAGCAATGTTGTTTTAACCAAAGAGACTGGGTTTTACACAAAAGATATGGTGTACAGATATATCTATCCCGACACGTAGATAATTTCATTCTGAATTCTGAATTAGTTGAGATATAACAATAATTTTCTTTTAGATTTGAGCTTTTTTTCTTAGGGAAATAGGTCCCTACAGGCCACTAGTAAGAATTTAATACTGTATATTATATTCTTTCATTTGCATTGCATCAGTTAAATGAGAAGACTACTGTCTCAAAAGACGTTTTTGATGACGATGTGAGTATTTATAACTATAAGGTTGAATTATATTTATAAATAACCTATTTACACCATTTTGTGTGTTAAAGATCATGCTAGAGATATTATACCAGTGTATAAATCAATACGTATTTCCAACTCTTTTCGATATACATGTTAACAACACTTATATCTCGCTAATTGTTCAAACATTTAGAGCCCTAAATATAAGTGTAGATAGACCAAAAAGTAGTAAAGGACATATTTTTTGACGTAATATGCAATTTAATAAGCAGGCACAGGTATTAAAAATAATATAACACGATTTATAAACACAAACTGTGTTTTATTGACAAATTTCACTCAAAATGCATATATAAAAAATATGTATATACTAAACTACTCAAAAATCTATATATACATTTGAATACTATATAATAGACTAAAAAAGTCCAGTAAGGAATGTAAAATATACAAACATAACACATTTATAAAGTCTACTTAATTAAATAACATAACAATAAAAATAATACCTCTGGGTTTTAAAAAGCACAATAATTTTGGAAATATAAATATTTTTTTCAGTAATCATTACGTAAAGCTATTTGATGATTTTAAAAGGTTGTGAGTAGATTAATAAAATACAGAAACTGATGTTTCGTATTAACCAAGTAATTGGGAATTCAAGTAAATTAAATAGTTAACAACAGTAAATAGGCGAGAAAATTATATTTTAATATGATGGTAAACTTTATCACGTTCCTTCTTTGTCTTTCGTTAGCTACATGTGTACTAATTAGGAATAATGCAAAAATGCCTACTTAACATTTAAATTAAGCAGTAATCGCAGTGAACAATCAAACAATTATTCACCAGCCCGAATTTAAACAAACGGGGCAGATGGTTAACTCAGAAAACAAATAGGTTTCTGTCTTCTCAGGCTTCTGAACTTAAAAACACCGACAGGAAACGTGTTCTAGATAAACATTTGTTGAATTAAACATTACAGCTAGCGTTTGTTACAACTGTTTCGCTTCTTCAAGCTACTGTATGAGAACATTATTGAAGAAGCCAAAAACGTATGAAGCTAAAATAAATTCAGTATAAACGCCACTTGAAGATCTCAAATAACTGGAAAAACAGTCATTTTTATCAAAACAGAGAAGTATATCTCTTTCCACAAATATGGTTAGTATACAATTTGTTTTACTGTCGGTGACAATTATACTTAATCCAGAAAATCTAAAACATATTTCATTTTGTTTTTTCCTTTCTTACAGGCAGAAACCAAAACTGAAATGAATAAAATAAAATAATAATGCACACAGTACAAGATATCTTTTTCGTTCACCGTTGAACTTTGAAGATGAGTATTGAAAATGTCAACTTTCAAAAATATTGGAGATGGATGGACATTTATACTAGGAACTAACAGATTTGTTGAAAAACTTTTAAAGCTGAAAAATTACACATGCATGCAAAACCAGTTCCACTTAACCTATTGATACAATGATACATACATGAAACAATATTCTTACAAAGGTAAACTATTTACAATTCTCTGCAAACCAAACCATTTGTTTGGGATGCGTATCAATAAAGAATTTGTATGTACAAACAAACCATTTATAAAATGGTTCACCACATAATATACATTTATCGAGAAAGCTTAAAATATTGCACTCACTAAAATAAAAACCACTCGCACTATAAATACTGCACAGCAACATGCACTCGTCACTTGTGCCATGACTATTTACACTTTATGTACCAAAACTATATTGGAGCAAGTGAGCAATCGTTGGTTTATCGACGCAAGATCTCCTCCATGCTGAAACCTTGCTTCTTGACTGGTGGAGGCGCGGCGGCGGGAGGTGGCACAGGAGGTCCTGAAGATCCTGATGGTCCAGGAAGTGCGAGAGGAACAGATTGAGGAGCTCCGGGGGATTTATCCACCTCAACGCTTGGACCTGGAGTCGGCTCAGAAGCCTTAGGACTATCCAGTGGTTGAGGAGGTGTGGAGGATCGAGATCCGATGTCCGGAGGCTCAGGAAGTTTTCTCCTGAATATACCCAACCCGAGAGCATTCGGAACATCCTGGATGCTGGTGACCGTCGCAGACGGAGGACTGGATATGTGGAGATCCCTGCGGACCTGGAGTTGCGGTCGAGCACCAGGAGGTCGCATCGTGTACACCGGGTCGTGGGGATGGTGACACTTGGTAGAGTTGGGAGATGGAGACCTCTTACGGCTGAGATTGGTCGGTGACTGACGTCTAAACAGTGGTATTGGTGACGGGGAATGGCGTCTGAAGATGGGAACTGGAGATTGCGAATGTCTGCGATACATAGGAACCGGCGAAGAAGCTTGTCTTCGATAGGGAGATACAGGAGAAGGTGACTGCCTTCGGAAGTTAGAGGAAATCCTACTGGGTCCTGGCTGGGGAGAGGAACATCTCATGCCCACTGGGCTCGGCGACTGACGGCGGAACACAGACACTGGTGATTGGGACTGTCTTCGGAACATCGACACTGGAGATGGCGAGTGGCGCCGCTGTGGAGAGCCCGGAGTCGGCGAACGTCTCCGGTACTGGGAGAACATGTCTGAGGAGACATATGTGCGCTCCACCGATGGAGCTCTAGAGGGGTCTTCGTCCGAGGAGCGGCTGTCGTTGGGGGAGTTGGACGACGCAAAGTCCTTGTGGATACTCTCAGGAGCGTTCCCGCTCTCGCGCAAGCTCTCTGCCAGAACTTCTGGAGGGACGTCACCCACAGCGTGAGTTAATGCGTGACGTCTCAAGTCACAATTCCTCCTGAAGACCTTTCCACAAGAGTTGCACTCGTACGGTTTGTGATCGGTGTGGGTGAGCAGGTGGGTCTTGAGGTTGGACCGCTGATTGAAGCTGCGGCTACAGACAGGACACTTGTGAGGAGACTCCTCCAGGTGGAGGATCTTGTGTACCGCCAGAGTACGCGACTGACAGAACCCCTTGCCGCACTCTCCGCACTTGAACGGCTTCTCCTTGCTGTGGATGTACCTGCAAAATTAAGAGCTGCGTTAAGACAGTTGAAGAGTATTAGATGTCAAAGGCTATAACAAAATCAAATATGGTATTTTATTGACATATCGTATAGAGTTTGCAATGTTTTAAAACAGTATCCAGATTGCAAGTGGCTCGTCACTCTACATTTTATTTTTCTTCAACCTTGCTCTTGCAGCTATGATGCCTTTGTCGACAGCGTTTATATCCATTTTCTACAAAATGGTTCAAATGTTCTACTTTTATTTAGTGCTTTAGTATATAAGATATCGACGAAACAATTAACGTTTTAGAATGGTGTTGCATATTCAAACAAGATAGCGTAGGCTAACTAATTAATTTTACTTTTTTATCTTAACTATATTCTATAAGGAGAGACAAATTTGGTTATTGATATTTTTCGTCAATTATCGTCAATTAGTAGATATTCAATTTTGTTGGTTGATGATGTGTAGCAAGAAATGATTCATGCAATTAATTGATTCATGATCCTGAGTTTGTAAACATAGCTTTGTACACATAAAGAAACTAGCAATACCGATCGTCATATTTTCGTGTAAGAGCAAAAAATAATGGTCTTGGTTTCTGTCACTGACGTTGGTAAACATAAAACTGAAAACAGAAAATACCAACAATTCCCGATTCTGTGCTCCTAGAAATCATTCTTTCACCAACTGAAAAACGACAAATTTGGGTTGGGCGAGGCAGAGAGAAAAGAATGGTCGACGCTCTCTAACGGATGGTAAACATTTGCTTCCGACGGTAAACTACTGTACACACCAAGGCAGGTGAAGTGCTGCAAGGGACAAGACACGCACAGTAACCGGAGAAGCTCGAGTTGCGTTGTGTGACGTCACTATCGTGCCATCTATACATCTGTCTCCTGCTCTGGATCAAAGAGGCGGTTCTTCGACCCTTCTGTCTTCTGTTTCACATTTCACCCGGTTGACTGGACCAGTTGGATTCTATTGATCAAAATTGTCAACTGGCCCGGAAGTTCATCAAGGATATAAATCTTCCTAAATGTTGCCATTTGTCATGTTTTTTAACGACATGTAATGACTTAATTAAACCTATTAGATTACTAGTAATTGGTAAATGTTAGGATTTGGTACTTTCCCTTTATAAAGTAAATGTTTAATACTAAAAACGTAAACATTTAAAAATACAGTCTATTTTAATTGAATTAGCAATAATTCATTACCATTCTTTTTTATCAAATCTCATCGGTGTGTTAACAGACTAGTCGTTAGAATCTCCAACTTTCAAGCGGGAGAGAGGGAGGTTAGAACTCAAACATGAACACAAACATTTGAGGGGTTTGGGTGGATTTCCAATAAACAAGTATGAGCCACTGGCATCAAAACTGAATATAGTACAGTATACAGAAACTACACTCGTACGAGAGATTTGTGATATGGATTTCAAGGTGACAAAACCCCAAGTTTTCTACAATATCCATGCAGTTAAATAGTTATGATTTGTTATTGATACGATCTAATGTCGACTTGTTGGCGATAAATGTGGTATAGCACACTGACAAACGGCAACTAGGTCCACATTTGTACCCTAAAACCTCCTACTCTCAAGAACATTAAGCGTTCCCATTACGTGGTCAATTCGCGGTGGAAAGTGTAACACACGTCCAATGCAAAACAGTCGGGGAACGATCTACAAAATAACGATAACTCAAGCGGCGTTGCCATTTAGACGGTGGTGAACTTTTTGAGTCTGGTGGTCGAGACCGTAGTCTCCAGGGACATTGGGAGGTTTTCCTGATGGATGTCATACTGGGGGAAAATTAGATAGAAAACGTGAGGAGTTATCTCGGCGTCGGTGATGGAATGTGTGAGTGGACTAGTCCAGGGCGGAGATCTGACAACACTGGTAGAGAACCGGTCTCGGAGCCCGCGGCTCGGCGTGGCTCTCTCCGTCGAGTCGAGCCCGTTAATTAATTAAAGAACCGCGCCACCTCTCCTTCTCTGCTCCTTGGTCCTGCGTCGCGGACTCGGTCCCACACAAGGACCCGACAAAGCGGTTTGATACGGTTCAGATTATCTTTGTGAGTGATGACCCAGCCGACTCCTATTGGGTAGTTTAATCAGCTACAGATTCTGGGTTTCAAACCGAGTTATAACTTCGGAGATCATCTACGCTTTGATTGCATTACGTATAAATTGTAACTCTAACGAAATGCCAAAGGATTATAAGCAATACTGGTTTAAGGATTTCTTATTGGTGGGAACTATAAGTTATCAGGTTAATATTATTGGTCTATCGTTTACATAAGTTGAGTATGTAGTTGAATGTAAGACATATTTAGGACCTCGGGAATCATGAATGAAACATATTGTATACCTCAAAGGTTGTTATGATATTACACGGGTTTCTAAGTCCGATTGATTATATGTCTGTCCCGTTTTTTTATTTAGAAAATAAAACTACCGTCGTAAGATCCGATTTATACTAGGGCGGACATAGAAAGTCTACAAGGCACTTCAATGAAAGTTAACAGAATAAACGATTAGTTTTAGTAAAACATTAACTGCCAATTTTTCGCCCAATAAATGACAAGAGTTATCACGTATTCTTTTAGTACAGTAATTGGTTAACATCTTTATTTTCCTCCTGACACGTTTTAAATCCCCTTTATGTTAGTTTTGTATGTTTGTCTTAACACAAATTGTAACCCTTGAGGGTTTCGTAAGAACCTTTTAAAGGATAATTTTTGGTATTCTAATTACCATAAGGCACCTGTTATTTTCCAAGACCCTCGTTCAAATTGGTTTTGGGCCCGGTTCTGGATGGTCAAAAAGTTGTTCGATCTTTTTCAACATCAACTCAATGTTCTACCACTAAAAAGATTCTCTTTATTATGTGAACTTGCTGATTCTATGGTGTGGGTTAACATGGTAGCCCGTTGGTATACACGGAGTAGACTTGGCAAATCACTCAGTTGTCCCAGTAACAACCAGCTCTTCAAGGTGTAAAATCTTGTATCTCTAGCACACAAGAGTACACACCGTTGCTATTATAAGCCTCCTCTAGCACACTACCGCCACAGTTCGCACGCTCTCGCACCGTTGGCTGTACGCCAGACTCTTAATCACTTGACAACCCACATTTCACACTACCGCAATAAATTCCATTCATTTAAGAAATCATACTTAATGTATCAGCTTGTGCAATAAGAAATTCGAATGTGAAATGTTAAGGGCGTAAGTTATGCCGGGTTGTCGATCTCGCGTTTCGATTACAGCGTTGTGCGTGTAAAATGGATCAACCGAGACAGTTAGTTATTGGGGCACACCGGTTTGTAAAGGGTCTAAATTGTACACCAACACCCGCACATAAATTGGGCATGGTATATATAACACGTGTCGTAATTCCAAGGGGTCAAGTCATTAAGTGAATTGTCAGAACTCTCAAGTTATCTGTCGTGTTTTTAATTCGTGGTTAAACATTAACCCGTTTACATTTTACATTGTACATTTTAGTCTGTTTCTTTTAAACAACTGTAGTGTAATTGGTATAAGGTATTGTGAAATAGTATTTTTCACTACTAAAAAACCCTTTCGGCCCGTAGTACGAACATAATTTTTCACCACACTGTAAAAAACTCAGAAAATCTCATATACTAAAAAACTTTTGCAAAACTTATGACAGCTAGCCTGACCATACTACTGAACCGAATTACACATGGATGGTACCAAATGAAAGATATTTTCCTGTAGATAAACAGAATCCCTTTATAAATTTAAAAGGCTCAAAAATAGACACAAAAATAAATTTTAAATTAAAAAAAATTGACTTGGGTCTTGTGGGTTGCCATGTTGGTGACGAAATAACAAAAAAATATACACAGAAAATCAAGATAACATTAAAGAAATTCCAAACACATGTTTTATTTTCAGTGTGGGTTGAAAATAGAGAAGTTTGCACAATATAGGCCTACTTTTGGTCGAGTTTTCGACACGTGGCAAGCTCTCGTCTTATATACTAAAAAAAAACTTTTGCAAAACTTATGACGGCTAGCCTTACCAAAAAGGACCGAACTATATCGGCCTTATACTGGACCGAATTACACGCGGTTGGTACCAAATGAAAGATATTTGCCTGTAGATGTGCAGAATCCCTTTATAAATTAAAATAGCCTAAACAAATAAGCACCAAAAATTTATTTTAAATTTCAAAAAAAATTACATGAGTCTTAAGGGTTGCCATGCTGGTGACGACATATAAACACAAAATCTAAACAAATTCAAAACACATGTTTTATTTACAGTGTGGGGTGAAAATAGAGTCTGTACATAACATATTTTTGGTCGAGTTTTCGACAACGGCGACCTCTAGGAGCCAATAGAAAAATAAACTTTTCTTTTGGAGACTTAACATGGGGCCAACATTTAAAGCTTAAGACAGCTAGCCTGGCCTTACTACTGGACCGAATTACACGCGGGTTGTACCAAAAGAAAGGTTATCGGTCCTATATGTGCGGTTGTATTTGTATTTTGAAGATATATGTTATAATTAGGTCAAAAATGGAAATTAAACTTTTCTTATGGATATTTAACATGGGGCTAATTTGTAAGCTTACGACAGCCACCTTGATCATACTACTGGACAGATTTACACGCGGTAGGTACCAAATGAAAGGTAACTGTCTGTATATTTGCCCATTTTGCTTCGATTTCAGATGTTAGCCTACTCGAATAAATGTTATAAAAACGGAAATTAAAATTTTAATTGACAATTTAACATGGGGCAAAATTTTTAGTCTATTAAGAGTGAGATCTGGAGTTCTATTGGCCCGATTGACATGCAGGTTGTGTTAAATTAGGGGTAAATAACTCTATATTCTCCCATGTACCTAAAAAGTTTCCTATTTATTTAATCTTATAATTTAAAAAAACTTGAGCAAAACTTATGTCAGCTAGCCTGACCACACTACTGGACAGATTTACACGAGGGTTGTACCAAAAGAAAGGTTATCGGTC